AGTGCTGCATTTAACCACTGCGCCACCTTGGCTCTGGCTCATAATTCTGATTTTATTGAAAAAGCTTTGGAAGAATGCCAGCTGTTGTACAAAAACTGCTTCAGTTCACACTAGGGTGAATTCAGTCCTGAAAGAAATTTATCATTTCTGCTGTCTTCTCTTACAAGAAACTAGGGACAAAATCTAGCAAGTACATTTCTATTATTGGGCACCAAGGACAATGGGGGGGTCATTTAAAACAAAATACAACTAGAGAAACTAGTAACAATGTTTTTCTCTCTTGTTCCAAAAAGAGCAAAGTAAGTGGAGTGGAATGGGGAGAGAATGGAGATTTTGCAGTATCCTTCCCCAGGAGAGGGGAGGGAATGGGCATTTTGCAGTATCCCCTGGAGTTGGGAGGGAATGGAGATTTTGCAGTATCCTTCCCCAGGAGAGGGGAGGGAATGGGCATTTTGCAGTATCCCCTGGAGTGGGGAGGGAATGGAGATTTTGCAGTATCCTTCCCCAGGAGAGGGGAGGGAATGGGCATTTTGCAGTATCCCCTGGAGTGGGGAGGGAATGGAGATTTTGCAGTATCCTTCCCTAGGAGAGGGGAAGGAATGGGCATTTTGCAGTATCCCTTGGAGTGGGGAGGGAATGGTTATTTTGCAGTATCCTTCCCCAGGAGATGGGAGGGAATGGGCATTTTGCAGTATCCCCTGGAGTGGGGAGGGAATTGGAATTTTGCTTCCCCAGGAGAAGTATCCTTCCCCTGGAATAGGAATTTTGCAGTATCCTTCCCCCAGGAGTGGGGAGAGAATGGAGATTTTGCAGCATCCTTTCCTTGCCACGCCCACCAAGCCATACCCCACCAAGCCATACCCACCGAACCGATAGAAAAAAAATGAATTTCAGCACTGACTTACATACCTGTTATCTTGTACATGTTTGACAAACTAAATAAAATAAATAAAACAAAGCCCTCCCGCTGCCACCCCCAACCGGCCATTGCCGTAGCTTTCGCCAAGCGGGTCTCCAAGCAAGCCAGGCTCAAGGACGGCCGACCCTCGCTTAGCACCAGCCATCTGTGGCTACTTCAAGTTGGGACTGGCGTGGCGACTCGTCCCCCTTATGCGGTCACGACCTGCCCGGCAACCCTCAGAGATGCCGCCCGCAGCCAAGAGGAAAAAGCGCGGGAAAACGGGCCCGGCCTCCTCTCCCTCCTCCTCAGCAAACTTACTCTTATTCAGCGGGCTGGTCAGCTCGGCTCCCACGTCGATCTCCGGGGCGAAGGTTTGCGGGGACACCTGCAGAGGCACGAACAAGGACGTGTCCGGGCTTTTGACGCCCGAGTCCTCGTTGCCATTGGAGGACGAGGCGAAGAAGGCGATTCTCGCCCGGCTCAGGCCGCCGGCCCGGCTTCGGAGAGCCAGAGGGCATCCGCAGCGGAACCGGCGTGAGGGGAGCCGAGAAAGCAACCGCGCGCAACCGGTCGCAGACATGGAAGCGCAGCCCTTCGGTCGCCGCATGCGAGGTCGCCCGCGGCTACTCGTCATCGCTAAGCGACTCGAGGATGTGGGGCTGTCTATGGAAACGCCTGAATAGGATAGAAGAAAACATATGCTGTTATCGGCATAGGTGATTTGAAAGAGGCTTTCGTCCGACTCACCGCGTATGCCCCGTCTCCCGTGTCTATGAACACTTCTGAACAGGGCCAGTCTTTTAGTAAAGAAAGCTCACTCATCTCCGGCAGTACTGAGGACGCCTAAGCAAGGTCCTCTAGAGCAGTGGTCTCCAACCTCAGCCCCTTTAAGACTTGTGGACTTCAACTCCCAGAGTTCCTCAGCCAGCTTCTCCCCCCCATTCAGGCGTTTCGCTGGCTAAGGAACTTTGGGAGTTGAAGTCCACAAGTCTTAAAGTGGCCAAGGTTGGAGACCCCTGCTCTAGATCTCACCGGAAATCAGCGGCGAAAGCGGGTGGGAGTTGTAGTCCTAGGATGAGCCGATGCTCCTATTGGCTGTCCTGAAGGCTCCCAGGCGTTTGGATGGGGCGCGGATGAGCGGAATCCCTGCTGGGAGCCGCGGGGCACAGGAACAGGTAAGCCCGAGGATCGTGTTCTCCCGATCGGGATCTCCTTTTGACCACCAGGATCTTATTTGTCTCCCTCTCGGTAAAAATTAAAGGTTCTGATGCCGTGTTGTAGCCGCCCCTCTTGACTTTTTTGACCCTATGCCTGCTACGGTAGTATCCCTTATTGATGTAGCCCAGCCAAGAGATCGCAGGCGGCATTGTATACCAATTTCGTTGTCTACATGATGTACAATGACAATAAGGGCTATACTAACTTGTGGACACGGTGGCTCAGTGGCTAAGACACTGAGCTTGTCGATCAGAAAGGTGGGCAGTTCAGCGGTTGGAATCCCTATCTCCGCGTAACGGACTGAGCTCCCGTTACTTGTCCCAGCTTCTGCCAACCTAGCAGTTTGAAACCGTAAAAATGCAAGTAGAAAAATAGGAACCACCTTTGGTGAGAAGGTAACAGTGTTCTGTGCGTTTAGTCATGCCAGCCACATGACCATGGAGACATCTTAGGACAATGCTGGCTCTTCGGCTTTGAAACGGAGATGAGCACCGCCCCCTAGAGTCAGGAATGACTAGCATATATGTGCGAGGGGGAACCTTTACCTTTATCTATAATTATTTGCAATCTCTAGACTAGATATTCTTAATGGCTCAACTGTACTCGGGTTTGTATGGTCTGACAAATATAGAATTTTGAAAGCAACATTCAAGCACAACATTATTTGTGGAAACTATGTGCCACAGGAGCACTGAGAAATCTCTGAAAAGTGACATTTACTTACTTACCTATTCAGCCTCTTATAAGGGGATGGGGGTACGGGTATCAAGCTTTTATTGTACCTGCCACTAATCCCATTGGTACCCTGGGTGTTTGCATTGAAGGACAGTGGCTTACGAACCATCAGTGGTAGTCAACCTGGTCCCTACCGCCCACTAGTGGGCGTTCCAGCTTTCATGGTGGGCGGTAGGGGTTTGCTATAACTCTGCTTTATAAATTTTATAAAGTAAAGTTATTTCCCTACTTTATAAATCACCATTAATATGGAACAGGTGGGCGGTTAGAAAATTTTACTACTAACAGATACAAAAGTGGGCGGTAGGTATAAAAAGGTTGACTACCTCTGCAATATATGATTATCCCCATCCCCAGTTTTGTGAATGGAGATATTGCTTCTGGAAAGCAACCGCCTCCCTCTCTCTGCCTTGTTAGACATTTTAAAGAAGATACTTAAACAGTGATTAAAAGAAATAAATAAAAATATGGAAATAAAATACAACCACATAAACAAGGAATTAAAGTGGCTAAAGGTTATAGTTATTGAATATATTGTTCAGAAGATTGAACATTGCTACAAGCTAAACAAGCTAAACACGAATATCAAGAACTATGATCAACATATTATAAATCAACAAATGGGATTTCTCTGCTGGAGTAAATGAAGCCTAAGGATGTAAAATATGGAGAGAGATGAATGAAGCCTAAGGATCTAAAAGAAAGGGGGGAGGGAGGGAGAGAGAGTTTTCACTGTAAATTGTTCTGCGCATGTGCAAAGAACAATTTACATTGAACAGTTCACATGTGCACGACACGCATCTAGCACGCAAGCAGGTTGTGAACCAGTAGTAAAACCGGCAGCAACCCACCCCTGTTCCAATTGGAAAATTAAGGAACCTTCCCCACAAGCACTCTCAGGCATCTATTACCATAATATTTAATTACTTCAGTAATTAAATGCTTCAGGGGTTCCAGCCTGAGTGTCCCAGGGGTACTTATTTGCCCATTGCAAGAGAAGTAGTGAAATTATACTGCGATTGTGAGTTGGCTTTTTTTTTTTGCAAGAATTTGGTAAGTATAAGATGATGGGGCAGATTGCATCCAATCATTAGCGACACATTTTTTCCAATGCATTTATATTGTGGTATGGGATTAGTGACTGCTATGGCAGAGATGCAGATCAAGCTAGCGACTCTTCTTTCTTCTTTCTAGTATATTGTCACTTCCTCTATAATCACCAGTCACATAGTGCATGACATGCTGAAGCAAGCAGGCTGCTGCAATAACTGGGCATTTTCATCTTGGAAAAGGACAACTTTCCATGGTTCTTGCATTCATTCCCACTTTCTCTTCCTGCATGCTCATTACTGATGTAGCCTCCAATGCTTGTCTATTGATAATTCACAGGGTGTCAGTGCCAGGATAGGAAGCTGGTGACAGTGAAGTTCCTTTTGTTGTCATAGTCCCCACTTGAAGTAGCCACAGAGATCCCGGCAAAAGCCAGCAAAGGAAGAAGAACCTGCTTGTAAGTGTAGCTGTGACTTCCTGTTGAGTTCTGTTAATTCTGCCATTGTTACCCCAAAACACTCCAAAGTGTACCGTAACTCAGAAGTAGGTGCTGCGTGCATTATGCTTCCAACTTACTGAAGCGGTGACTTTTGTGGGCAAGTGTTAAATGCATGTTCTTGCTGATATTTGTGTATCTATTCAGGGCTACACAATGAGGGAAGGTTGTTCCCCTCTTCCCAATTCTGTATCTTCTCATCCAACCACCTCCTTGGAAGAGCCCAGGCCATCCACTTCTGCTATGGCACTAGAGGAACTGGATAGTCCCAGACGTCATGGTAAGACAGGATTTCAAAACCTCTGCCACCGGGGGCCATCAGACAGGCCATGTGCCAAATGCCTTAGAGATGTATGCTTTGCCCATTTTGCCTCTGTCTAATGCAAAGCTCCCTCTTGACCCAGTTTATAGGGAATGTGGTACCTTAAAGCCCATTATGAACCATACGCCCATTATCTAGTGCCGTGATGGCGAACCTATGGCACACGTGCCACAGGTGGCATGTGGAGCCATATCGATGGGCACGCGAAGCCCATCGATATGGCTCCAAATATCCACAACCTCTAGGAAGGGCCTAGAGCCTGGGGAGGGCAAAAGACGGGTTTACCGTGCCATCACATGCCAAAATGGTGGTTGTCACGTGTAGATGTGCAGGGGAGGACACATAGAATTATGGGGGTGGGCACGCATGCGCATGCTCCCCCCGCTTTTGGCACGTGATGGCGAAAAGGTTAGCCATCACTGATTTTTTTTTTTTTAACTTTGAAAACAGAACTTTTTTATTTTTCTTTTAAAAAAAAAACACAAATATGTCATCATTTGTCAATCATTAAGACATTGAANGGTTGGTGAGCCAGTTACGAATCCATCTGGTGGTGATGCTGTCTAACCCACATTTTTCTACTTTCTCTAGTAGTAGGTTATGGTCTACCTTATCAAATCACATTTCTAGATGTTTCTCAATGCAATAGAAGCTCAGGTCACAAATGCTTCTGAGCATGACCAAATCGGGTTCCGACCAAAAATTTCACAATTTCCCCCCCCTGCGACCGATTTCCCCTTCCATGCTATTTTTTTTGTAAGCACCAAATTTCCAAATAGAATGCTTTACAGCCCTCTGTAAGCAGTTTATAGAATCAGCATATTTCCCCCAACAATTTGGGTCCCCATTTTCCCAACTTCGAAAGGATGGAAGGCTGAGTCAACCTTGAGCCTGTGAGATTTGAACTGTCAAATTGCAGGCAGCTGTCAGTCAATAGAAATAGCCTGCAGTACTGCACTCTAACCACTGCACCACCGTGGCTCAAAACAGGGATGTCAAACTGGCGGCCCGCAGGCTATACGTCATACACAAGCCATGCCCACCCTGGGTCCGCAATGGCAAAAAATATCGTTTACGTCATGTGACATAATCGAGCTTGATACCTGTAGTCTAAAAACACCATATACAGTAAATATCACTGATCAATTTAGCTTTAATGATACAAACTGTTGATGGAGGGGATGACTTTTAATATACTTTATCTCTTAAGGAAAAGCAACTGGAAGAACTAAATTGGACAATATGAGGTTTCAAAGGTATTGGAAGATCCTGAGCCACTTTTTTGCAACCCTAAGACTCCATTCTGTACATAATTACTCAAAATCAGAAATATAATTACCGTTACTTTGAGTGGGAAACACATGAAAACCAGAGTATAAGCCCTACAGCAGAAGATATATTTTAGAAAAAAGAGAAAGACTGACAAACACTTAAAATGATCTCCCAAACTCCAGGAAAAAGAATGACACCCCTGCCCCCAATTTCCCTGCAGCTCTACCCACTGGGCCTCCTTTCTTATCCTGGACATAGAGCACGCGAAGCAGAGCACCTACCTCAACTTCTTCTCCTGTAGTATACATGAGCTCTGTCACTAAGTTAATAGCAGCCTCTTCACCACAAACATGGATTTCTTTTGCACAGAGTCCTGAATAAAATAATGGCATGCAAGCATTACAAAATTATTTTCACGGAACAAAATGCTTTGTCTATACTGGTGTTTCTTAATCTCAGCAATTTTAAGGCATGTGGACTCCAACTCTCAAAATTCCCCAGCCAGCCACTGTGTGGTGGAATGTAGTCCCAGGAGGAAGGGCTTTTCCCCAGGGGGCAAAAAGGGAGAGGAGCTTAGAATGTCTGCTAGGTAGGGATAAGATGCTCCCACCCACCCACTCCCTAGCAGTTTAGAGTACATCTATAGTTATGCAGATTAATTTCTTTAGTCTGGCAAGAGTCTGTCCATAGGCAAACAACAATAAAGAAACTACTCAGAAGTAACTCCATCTGTTGTTCTTAAGATTTGGAACCTGACAAACTCTTAAAACAAATATCTAAGGCATCCAAAGTTGTAGGATTTTTCCGTGACCGAAAGTGTTGGGCAATGTTCTCTGACCAAATCTGGAGAGCTTGAGATCTGGGAAGATTGCTCTAAAACACTCTGCTGCAAATTGCATGCAATATGGATTGAGATAACACCATTTGGTAATAATGAATTGTCCAAAAACATACCCAAGAGTGCACGTGTCCAGGCCCAGCCTCTAGAAGGATCTTTAATCATCTGAATTTCATCAATCACAGCCACGTCATCTTAAAGAACAGCAAGCAATAAAAGTCATTTATTTATCTATCAAATTTAAAAGTTTACGAACATTCTTAAACTCTCACTACTGAAATAAGAGGCATTTCTGTAATGAAGTATTTGAAATGGGCATCTATTCATTTTAAAAAATTATTTTGTGTTTTCTCTACTGGCCAGTTTTGTATACAAATATTACAAGCACTTACAAAACTAAATATGTTTTTTTTAAAGAAAGCATACATACAAGGTGTATTAACACTGCACATCTCAATGGTGCAAGCCACATGGGCAGCTGATCTCCCTTCAGGATCAATGCAGACTCGTTCTTCTCCCGTAACCAGGTCACATGGTACATTCTGTAACATTAAAAAAACAAAATAAACATTTCCCTCAAGGATATAACACTGAAGACATAAACAATACAGTCCAATAAAGCACTTATCTACTCATCTCCGTTTCAAAGCCGAAGAGCCAGCACTGTCCGAAGACATCTCCGTGGTCATGTGGCCGGCATGACTAAATGCCGAAGACGCACAGAACGCTGTTACCTTCCCATTCCTATTTTTCTACTTGCATTTTTTACGTGCTTTCGAACTACTAGGTTGCAGAAGCTGGGACAGGCTCACTCCGTTACACGGTGCTAGGGATTCCAACGACCGAACTGCCAACCTTTCTGATCGACAAGCTCAGCGTCTTAGCCACTGAGCTGCCGCGTCCCACTGGCTATCTTTAGTGAACTCCAAATTAGGAATACCCTTGAAAAATACTGTAACCTTAAAACCCACCCACTGTCCCTAAAAACGCTTTATGTTTTTTTTTCCACTCCATCTTTATAAGCTGTTTTGGGGCTCCAGATAAGACACTGACAACACACATTTTTTAACCAACAACAATGTCCCATGTTAAAAGCATTACTGCAACAAAGGCAATTATCACATGGAAATTCAATGACATACTGACAGCATCATTACTCTTTTGGAAGATTTCGTGAGCCAAGAGCTTTAAAGGACCACAGTATACTCCGGATTCTGCTTTTAAATATCTCTGGATTGCATGATAGGTTTTCCCACTATTTGTAGGGCCAGCATGAAACACGATTTTCCTTTCAACGGCCCTGGCTTCCGGATACCTAGAACACATAAGTAGAAATGTAAAAATAAATCAAGTAATATGAATTTGTACTTAATCATCATTAAATGTGTAACTATGTAACGCTTGGAGGATGATTTTTAATAGCGAGTTGGATTACTCACCCCTAGGTGAAATGGGTGGGGAAAATGGAATAAGAGAAAGAAAGGAGAAAACAAGGCTGTCCTCTTCTTCAATACCACTTTTGTGTCTTTTCTTTCATCTGGGATGAACACCACACAGCCCTCCCCAGATCCTTTTTTCTGCCCTAGAGTAGAGCAGTAGCAATAGCACTTATATACCGCTTCATAGGGCTTTTACAGCCCTCTCTAAGTAGTTTAACAGTCAGCATATTGCCCCCAACTATCTGGGTCGTCATTTTACCCACCTCGGAAGGATGGAAGGCTGAGTCAATAGCAATAGCACTTAAAACTTACATACCGCTTCATAGTGCTTTGCAGCCCTCTCTACCCACCTCGGAAGGATGGAAGGCTGAGTCAATAGCAATAGCACTTAAAACTTACATACCGCTTCATAGTGCTTTGCAGCCCTCTCTACCCACCTCGGAAGGATGGAAGGATGAGTCAACCTTGAGCCTGGTGAGATTCGAACTGCCAAATCGCACACAGCCGGCAGTCAGTAGAAGTAGCCTGCAGTACTGCACACTGACCACTGTGCCATCACGGCTCTTATACCAGATTGAGAGACAAGATGCAGTACCAAAGCGGTAACATTTGACAAGGCAATTTTTCAGAGTGTTTACACTAGAAAACCTTTAAATTCTGTAAGGCTTAATAAATTTATTATTTCTGTTTTTAAACTGAAGTTTAAAGTTTCATCTCAAATATCTCTTTTCTAGTGATGTCATAACACTACTATCACGTCTTCTGAATTTCTTTCCTAAGTACATGCTCAAAAAAGGAGAATTTTATTCTACTTTAAGTTTCACATGATTTCTCAAACCACAGTGTAATTTTTTAATGAAGACATCTTCGGTTGCAGGTAATCCTCACAACCATTTATTTAGGGACTGTTCAAAGTTACAATGGCACTGAAAAAATGGACATATGACATTTTTCACTCTTACGACCATTGCAGAGGCCCCCCACAGCTCTGTGATCAAAATTCATATATTTATGACAGCTGCAGTGTTCCAGGGTCAAGTGATCACCTTTTTGCGACCTTCTGTCAAGCAACTCAATGGAGAACCCAGATGCACTTAACTATCATGTTACTAATTTAACAACTGCAATGATTCACTTAACAGTTCTGGCAAGAAAGGACATAAAATGGGACAAATTTATCATTTATCAATTGTCTTGCTTAGTAAAAAAATGTTAGGCTCAATTGTGGTCATAAGTCAAGGATTGCCTGTATTCTAAATACTTTATTTTCCGCTCATTTTAGAAAAAAATATTTGTGATTGTAAGCTATCATTATTTAGAATCTGAACTTGGTTAAATTTCATTATTGCCACTGACTGCTAGGGCATTATGTTTTTCTGTTATTTGATCTATTGGAAATATTTTAAATGAAAAATAGCTTCCATCAAAATTTACCAAATAAACTGAGTGCAAAAGTGGTAAACAAATTATGTACTCTTATTTATGAGTAGTTGTTTTAACAGTACAGGAAGTTGAACCAAGTCATTTCTGCATTA